GACCCGACCTGAACGCGTGCAATCCGGGAGACCAAGACTCGTAAATCAGGACCGAGTTCTGAACTCTCCGCTGACCAGTTGACCCACCAGCCGAGTGGCGAGCGCGCAGGGGCGCGGTGCACAAGTCACCGTCGGCCCTGGGTTCGAGTCCTCGTTGGGGCGAACAGACCGATTCTCTTTTTTTTCGGAGGGGGGGGGGCTGCTGAGCCGGCGGTCAAGTCCACCTCCCCGCGTCGGCTGGTCTTCTGTCCTAAACCTTGGTCCCCGCGCCGCAAACTACTAAATGGAAAAATATGAGCCTCGGTCAGTATTCGAACCCACGACCATGCGCGTCCCGGGCGCCCGCCCTACCAACTGAGCCAATGAGGCTTTTGCGTTGATGAAGCTCATCTCCGGTGTGGCTCACCACATCCCGGCAGAGGGGCAAAAGGGTTCCGTTGGCTAGATTCGAACCAGCGACTGTTTGCGTTACCGGCCCATCACATCAGGTGTCGCACGGCTGTAAAGTGATGGCCAGCGGAGCGGGAAAAATATCACGACGACGAGATTCGAGCCAGAGACCAGGTTCATACCGGGCCCGGACGCTACCGACTTGGCAACGAAGGAACGATAGTGAGCACATCTTTTGGGGGCATCCAGATCTCAGCTGTATCTGACGCCCGAAGACACTTGGCCAGCAGAGCAGGAAAAATGATCGCGGACGGGATTCGAACTATAGTTCGGTATACCGACCATCCTCACGATCTGCCAACGATCACACTCTAACACGCTTGCCGTAGGAGTCATTCAACGCGAGTGTAAGAAACACAAACAACCTCCACCAAAGTCTCCAACGACATCAGTGTAAGGGGCATACTCCCCAATTTTCATTTTTGAATGTTGCCCGTGTGGGTGTGGGGTGGGGGGTGGGCGTGTCGGTTGTAGCTACAACTGCGTAGCCACAATGAGGGACGTGTGGCTGTGGTAGGGGCGTCTGTCGGTGGTTCAGTGGGTGGGCACGGGGAGTCCCCACCCCCCCACAAACCACCCCTTTCCGGTGCTGGGGCCCAGAGCCCAGGCCAGGCGCTTGGAGGGAGGCTGCCGCAGCAACGGCGGCGTACTCGTCTCGGACGGTCGGGCACCTGGAGATGGAGATGGTCGTCGTGTGGTTGCGCGCCCTGGCTGCGTCAGCAGGATGTGGCTGACCCCCGAGGTGGACCCGGGGGACCCCCGAGCCGAGGGCCTCACCCGAAGGGGCAACACGTGACTTGACCTAACCAGAGGGCTCATCCCTTGCGCCGCCGATCGATGTGCAGCGCGGGCCCCGGAGGGGGCGCGGCGGGTGGGGCGCGGCGGGGGTAGCTCCATGGGGTGAGCAGCCGCAGCCCCACGGCCCCACCTCGCGGCCCACCGCTCTAGCGGCACCACACCGCCCTACCCGCCTCGCCTCCGAGGCCCCCGCCCCTCTCTCCTCGCGCACAGCTGCCGCCGAGGCTGCCGCGGCTATGGGAGGCGGGCGGGCTCCGTGCGGAGCGCGGAGCGGCGGGGCAGGAGCGGCGGACCCCCGGCCCCCGGCCCGCGGCCCGGCCCGGGCACGGCACCAGTGGCTGCCCGCTTGCCGCCCGGCCCGGCCAGGCCCTTCAGTTGACTCGAGGCAAGCGAGATGACGGCGTGCACGGCGCGCGTGGCGCGCGGCTCGACCCCATGCCCGTCGGCGCGCACGCCGGCGGCACCCACCGCGGCGCTGGCCGTCGTCGGCGTGGTCCTGCAGCTCGTCCTGCTCGCCGCGTCCTCGGCCGCCACCGTCGCTTCCCCGACCTGGCTGCTCCCGGACACTTCCGGCATCGACGGTCAGCTCACGGAGACCCTCAACGTCGACAGGTTCTTCGGCCTGTGGCTCGTCTTCAACGACGAGACGCTCAGCCTGTCAGGTGTGTGCGTGTGTGTGTGTGTGCTTGCGTGTGCGTGTGTGCGTGCGTGCGGGGTCACGCACTCCGCCCCCGCTCACCTGTGCCGCGCTCCCCCCGGCCCACCCCCTCCCCTTACGCAACCTCCACCGGCCGGTGCGGCCGATGCCCTTCCCTCAGAGGTCCCTGCTTGCTCCGCCCCCGTCACCCCCGTCCTCCGGGATGCGGGGCGCGAGGTGTTGTCGGGGGGTCGTTTGCATTAACCACGTGATTTTGGGTGAGTTTGAGTGGCGGGGCGAGGGGAGGGGGAGGGGGGTTGGTTGTTCTCTTATTCAAGACCAGCCGAGGGAGGTTTGAGAGGCATCCCTCCGCCCCCTCCCCACCTTTTCTCCATCCCTCCAGCCCTTAGCGGTCGTCGGGTACTAATAAAATCGTCACAGCTATATCACGTTAAGTCTCACGTGGGCCCATGGTGGTCATGTCTTGCTGGGAAACGCCACCCCGAGCAATCTATCTCGGACTGAACATGATATGCGATTACCATTGACTAACTATGGGGCTGTGAACAATGAACATCACAGCCCTTGCTCGAGGACTCGTTGGCCGTCGCCAGCACCCTCTGCTTCCCGGCGCCCCCACCACGCTCCGCCCCACCCGTCAAGTCAGGAGCAGGAGACGACGACGGGTGCACAGTCGGTTCCTCTGTTCTTGTCGTACTGTACCACCGCTTAGTCATGACGGTCACGGTTTCTGCTGGACGTCGTTTGACGACGACGACGGCGGGTCGGCCGGCGGTGTGGGGAGCGCAGAACGGGAGTCAGCCGCTGATTTCGAGAACGAGAACGTCGTAGTCGGCGCGGTGATAGCGGACGTGAAGGCCGTGCGATGACGGCACCACGTTTTCTTTTCCCGACGCAGTCCCCGCTGAAGTCACGGGCGTCAGAATTGAGGGCAAAACGTCAGGCTCAAACTGCCGTTCCCTGACCAGTTCCACTGATGAGAACTTGCGACTTTTCCGCGTTATGACTTTGGTCTCCGCTCCGCGACTCCGCGGCGGCGAGAGGCGACGAGGTTTGCAGAGCGAGCAAATAATTGAGTCGGCCATTATTGACGTACGCGACGCCGCCTGGACGTGTGCTGAGGCTGCCTGAGCGGTGCTGAGGTGCGGCGGCGCGGACCGGGACCGCGGCGGACTGCTGCGCAGTTTGGAACTATAGTCACTGAAAAATGAAACCCCATGGCGGCGGATCTCGCGCCCAATGGCGGTTGCATTGCGTCCAGGCCGACCAGGGGGCGATTTGCTGTGGGTTGCATACTTTCAAGGGTTTTGTAGGACAAATTGCCTGCCTACCCTAGGAGAGGTAAAACCGCGCCTGATGCCGGCGCTCTGCGATTTTCTAATCTCCTGCATTTCTATTAAACCTCTGGCTCGCCTTAAACTAGAGGTTCATCGCGGGTCGTCCAATTTTTCAGCGCTTTTTCCATCCCCGAACCCCTAAACGTGGCACGACACGAGCCGTATTTCATTCCTCCCTGGAAGGTCCGCGAACACGACCTGGGGGGGTGGGGGGGGGGGTCTTCTTCCCCAGCACTCCCCCGTCCGTGTCCGTCCTGCTGCTGGCAACAACCGCAAGCTGAGAGCTGAGAGCTCTATATGATGTGTCGGCTCCCACCCCATCGATCCAACCAACCCTCTAGGCCCTTACCTTCCCGTTCCCGCTCTCTCACTCTCTAGCTCTCTCACTCTAGCTCTTTCTGTCCCCCCCCCCCTCCTTCTCCCGTCGCCCTGGCGTCACTTTATCCTGCCTCTCTCCTTTCTCTCAACCAGGAAGGCACTCACTCAGACTCAGAGCTGCTTTTCGCGAACGTATCTCCTGGTACAGCGCACGAAGAACATATTTACAGGCGCAAAAAAGCACATCACAAATTCAGGAAATGAACAAATATGCGTTTAGCACACAACAGTGCCTCCTTTCCTTTTCCACTTTGAAGCTAACGTGCCGTCGCAGTTTACCAAACAATGAGAGAGACGCACCTCTCGCGAATCCTTTTGCAGGGGTTTGACTCAACTAAAATGATACATTTTGTACAAGCAGCATCAGCTTGATTTAATTTCAGAGTTGTTTCAAACAGCCCCCCTGTGCCTTTTGCGCCGCTGCAACTTATTGCAATGGCAATTCCCTCGACGGGCAGCACGGTGCCGTGGGGGCCCACCCCATAAATTTAAATGAGCGCAGAAATACGGCCGCCAGGCCCCGTGTCCCGTCCCGACCGAGCTGTTCCACCCCGCTGCGCCCGGGACCCGCCCGGGACAGCCTGGCACTGAGTCGTCGCATTATCTTGCAGGTGCATCTGCCGAGTGTTGCAGGAGCAATCGACATAAATCTGACCCAAACGCGCGCGCGCGCACGCGCACGTGTCATGTTGCGCGCCCTTTCGGTTGTACGTATCATTACTTTTTGGAATAAATCTGCCTCTATAAAGAGTGGATTGGGCTGTTTCGGACTGACCTTGATACTTGTGCCCCCGAAGGGCCGGGGCCTTATGTCTTCAAGGGCACATTGAGAGAGATAGCTACATACAAGGTGGCTGATTAACCCCGCTCATTCCTGCAGTTACGCTCTACGGCACGCACGAGTGCGAGCGGGCTTGCCTATCGCTCCTGTCCACGGCGCCTTACGGGCCGAGCGAGTTGGCAACCCACCCGCGATCGTGCGTGCAGTACAGCATAACTACAGAAGTGAGCTCCTGGTGCAGTCCCCTCTGCCCTACACTTCGAAAACAACATTTTGGGTCACCAGGCCCGAGTTGTTTTCGAGCCAACGGTTATCCCAACACGTGACCTCACCAATTAGCTAATGAGGTGGGAGCTGGTGGCACACGCATCACTCGGTGACTGTAGGGAAGTACATGCAGGTACACACTCGCAGTACAGTAGTCTCTATACAGGAGTTGACCCTTTCAGCATAATAACAATAATAATGACAAGACGATGCTGAAGTATGTCACTGATGCCATGTGCTCTCACTTCTCACTCACTTCCTTGGTGGGGGCGCCCATTGATACGTTGTAGTGAGGCAGGGGGGAGGGGGAGGGGCGTGGTAACCTGTGTGCCCCCCTCCCCCCCTACCCTTTCTCCCCACGCCGGAGAGCGCCGCTGGAGCCTCGGGAGGCTCGCTGGAGGCGGCCGCGCCGTGCGCCGGACTGAGCCACACGCAGGTCATCGACTTCGACTGGGAGAGGACAGGACAGGTGCTATGGCTCAACGGGCTAAGCCGGGCGGGGCGGGGCGGGCCGGACAGACTGGGCAGCCAGCCACTCCCATGAGCGCGCGCCTGGCGACTTACAAGTGGATCCGTTGCCCCCCAGCCCCTCTCTTTCTCTTACCCATCTCTCCCATGCAACTCGCCCGCCTCTCGCTCTCTCACTCTCGCACGACGCGATGTTGTAACGCCATCCTCTGTTTGTGTTGTATTGTCCTATGCGCCGCCGCGTGGTACTTCCCCGGCGGCCGGCATCGTTCTCTGACCTCCCCGTTCTCTCTTCTTCCAGACAAACCCTTCACCATCCTGGCGCCCATCAACTCGGCGCTGCCCCCGCTGGCCGAGCCGGGGGCCATGCGGCGGCTGCTGCTGGACCACGTGGTGCTGGGCAAGCAGCTGGACCTGGACATTGGCGCCGACCTCCGCTTCGCCACGCTGGGCGGGCACACCGTCAAGGTGCAGAACCACAACGGTGAGGAGTAGGCCCCGCCGCCTCCGTGAAGTGTAAAACACGCCATGAGGACAGATTCGGGAATGTTTTTTACTGGCCGCCCCCTCCATCCTTCCGGAATCTCATTGCCAATCTTGCCCGCGACTTTCTTCCCCCAGCCCGCCGCAATCGACCTTGTTTTTTCCCCCTCCGCTGTTTATGTTTTTTTCCCTGCTGAGCTGACGCTCCTCGCCCGTCCGTTTTAAAGAGCGCCTCCTCCACCTCCTCCTCCTTCCAGGCACACTCACGGCCAACGGCGCCCGGGTGCTGCGGGCGCGCGTCGAGGTGCCGCGGGGCATCCTGGTGACCCTCGACAACTACCTGTTCACGCCGCCCTCCGAGGAGGGCTCCACCAGCAGCTCGACGACGCCGGGCCCGCCCAGCCTGGAGGCGGCGGCCACCGCGACGACGGCCCCCAAGGCCAACGCCAGCACGGTCGCGGCCACGACGACGACAACAACGGCCGCCGCGTCCACCACCACCTCAGAAGCCGATACAGTGAGTTGTTGTTGCTGCTGCAGTCATCACCGTCGTCTCTTAGCCGAGCCGAAATCCGTTAGTCGGCCTACCGTGCCTGCCATGCCCCGGCTGGGTGCGCCATGGCCCCGGGCGCGGCCGAGCGGAGCTAAAGCGGAGCCGGCGGGGGGCCCCGCGGGGTAGGCCGCTCCGCTCGACAGCGCCGTCCTGCGGGTCTGCCTGCCGTCCAGGCGCTCGCCCGCGCTGCTTTATCTCCCTTACTTCGCTCACGGTCTGTCCTCCTCCGCGCAGGTGCCGCCAGCGCTGCCAACGGCCGCCGCGCATGTTGCGCCGCCCGAACCCAAGCCGCTGTCTGGCTTCCTCCGCGACGTCACGGAGGTGCTGTCATTCCTCAAGAGCGGCACGCGCGTCTTTCAGCACTTGCTGTCGCGCGCCCAGGTCAATGTGAGCCGGATGCTGACCGACGACGGCCAGTACACTCTGCTGGTGCCCACGGACCTGGCGTTCCAACGCTGGCACCCCATTGACTGGGGCTTCTACCCTTTCTCGGTGGCCGAGTTTAGTGAGAGCGTCGTCGTGAACCACTTCCTCAAGACCGACCTGCGCGCCGATGACCTAAAGGACGGCCAGGTGGCGCTCTCCCTTGAAGGCAGGGAAGTGGTGTTCGCACGAAAACGTAAGTACGAGTCGAGCTCGGAGCACTTGAGAACATACAATATTTGGGGCGCTGACCACATTTCCATTTTCAGCCAACTTGACGGTAAACGGAGTGCAGGTTGTGGGTGGCGATACGCCGGTGGCTCACGGCAACATTCTGCTCATCAACGAGGTCCTGTTCGTGACGGAGGAGGTGGTCGCCCGCCTGCACGAGAACAACCGTGACAAGGAGACGCCACCGCTGCTTGCGTTCCCGTGGATCGGAGCCCAATTCCTGAGCCACGCGTTCCTCGCCCTGGAGGAAGCTGGCAAGGGCTTCGAGCACGCTACCCGCTTCCTTAACATGGCCGATCTGGCCCCACACGTCCCCGGCACGGGCTACACTTTCTTCGTGCCGACAGACGAAGCTTTCGAGCGGCTTGGACTCGGCTCTGCGGACGACAGCTACCTGGCGACTGGACCTGGCCTCGACCTTCTGCTGAACCATTTCGTGGCCAAGAGGCTCTACGCCCGAGACCTGCAGAATGGCAGCACTTTCACTACTCTGGGCAACAAGACCATCACCATCAGCAGAAACCATGGTGTGTTCGAGTATGAAGAGTGTTCCATTACCTTTGTTTTGGAAAATAAGATGCAGGTTGTTTTGAACTCGCTGGTCTGACTTTCAGGTTCGATTTCCATCAACAATGCAAGAGTGGTGAAGAGCGAGGTGTTTGTTTACAATCTTGGCACCATGTTCTACATAGATCATGTTTTGTTCAGTGAGGATGGTCTTCCCCCAAGAGGTCACCAAGGTTCTAGCTCAGCAGGACCATTCCATGGTAAGCTAGATATCACCACAAATAAGTAGGTCTGCCAATGTCATTTAATTTTGTTTACTAGTAAGCAATTCTTTCTACTTTAGTTACTACAGAGATTCCAGAAGAGGTGGAAACCATTCCAGTTGAACTGAATTTAGAAACTGGCGATGGAAAAATTCAAGATGATGATCCAGACCGAGAACCAACAACAAGTGGTCCTGAAGCAGCTGCCAAGACGATAGAGGATCCTTGAAGCATTTCACTATTGACTATATTGGCAACAATTATCCTCGAGAGACTTGAAATGTTCATTGGGAGTACAGATTCTATCTAAAATATTGGATGAACATCTCAAAGTGGAATTCTTAATTTAAAGATAACCAAAGGCTGTCATGAAAGACAACAAAAGATTTTTTTCGTCTATAATAGTTTCAATGAAACATGGACTCGGTGATGATGATCATGATGGTGATAAGAGGAAGGAAAAGAATAAATTAGTGTATCTCTTGTTGCTGAAATTAGTTAGTTACTAGCAAGAGCTATTAGAGTTAGAACAGAGGAACAAATGCTTATGAGAACTGTAATATCATAATGTGGGTTTTCCTTGATGTTATGCTATTTGAAACTAGAGGGAGCTAGCCAATAGATGGCATTACATCATAGCAAAATATTATTGTCAAATGAAGAAGATGCTGACTTGCTTTTTACCATATCAAAGCTCATATCAAAGATTTATTCAGTTCTTTCTAAAGTTTTAAATTTTACTGCACCTTATCTATTGAGCAAAAGTTTAGCTTTTCTTCCTTTAAAAATTTATTCCCCGACAAACTACTGTAGCTCCTAAAAAATTTGATGATTTTTGAAGATCTCAAAAGTGAAGAGAATTTGTTTAGGATATAATGTACTTGAAAAGAATTACATCTTTTCCATTTTGTAGTATTTTTAACTCAGTAATTTTTATTTGTATGTTTACAGTTATGTGATCCTCGTGTATAAGTATGTATCAGACAATTTTCCATTAGATTTATGAAACACATCATATTCCACATTTATCATAATGAATCTTTGATGCAAGATTTCTATTACAGAATAAAATATTTTGAAAAAGTAGGAGTGCCAAAATTAAAGAAATGAAGATTATATACAGAAGGCAGAATGTTATGAACTGAATCTTACACAGCAAAACATGTTAAGTCATAGCTAAAGAGGAAAGATTTACCCAGCAAACCTCTATTAATAACTTTCCTTCCTTCAGCATCTTTAATTGCCATTAAATTTTAGATTTAATTAGGACCAGAAAGGTATACCAGAAAGTAACATATCAGTGATGAAGCATATTACCTTGCTGCCTTTACTTAAGGAAGATGAAACTGAGCACAATTGACAAGAAAACATGTCTAGAAAACAACTAAAAGGATTTTGAACAAAGTTGTATGTCATGTACATAGCTATTCCATTGTGATATTTACTGTTTTCCATATTTGTACAAATTCATTTGAATTCATTAAATGTGTGATCAGTGAACAAATTTAGATTTTATCTGTACCAGTCACTTCACAGCTGAGGTAAATATTTCTTTGACTTACATAATTTGGTGGGACACATCATCCATCAGATTTTTTTTATGGTCTGAGACGTTGGGTGCACTTTCGTAAGTGCAGATTGTCACTCCATGGTGGTGTGGTGGGGTCCATTCTCCTCGCAATCCAATGTAATAAACTCTAGATGTGTCATCTCCAAAATTTGAAGGCAAGTGAATTGTGAGATGGTGCACAGAAGAAAACTTCACAATTCTGTATATTTTGAAATTAGGTAGAAATTAGGGGGCTTGACAAAAAATTCAAATTCGAGAATAAACTCAGTTTTCAACTTACTTAATGGGATATTCTGCAGATCCATCACCATCTCTAGTCAATTCGAATTCTTGGTCAGCAGCTGCACTAACATCATCAAATGACATTTTGGGCCGATTTTTGAAACTGTAAATACACATTGTCTTAATTTTTTTTAAAGCTAAGCAACTACTCTTCTTTAGAACCACTACTTACAGTCTCATTTTGGATGGATGCATTTCTCCTTCTCCCCCTATCAAAATTATTCCTTTCAATTTCACATTTCCAGTGAAACTGAAACAAAGAAAATGTGAGAGACCAATAAGATGACGAGTCATTATTCTGGTGCATAGTGATCAGAACTAGAGAACGTTTTCAGTGGCTTATGACATATGAAACACTTACGGAATATTAAATAACAGTTCTTCATCTGCATCGCTGTCAACATACTGACAAAGAAACATAATTTTAAAACACCATCACAGCAAACGCTGAACTGCCATATATACCGTAACCCACCTTGTCCTTTTTTAATCGATCTTCCCATGGTTTAAAAACAGATTTTCCTGCTCCATCAATATGCTCGTTCAAACACTCTAGATTGTCAGTGTCAATCTTAGTGTAGAGAGAGTATTCTATTCCAGCCTCTGGACCAACAGGATGGTCATGATGCTCATGTTCACAACTGTGTCCTCCAGCTCCTGACATTGGGAAACTGAGAGAAGGGTGCACACACAGAAATTAAGAATGGCTTCCAACTACCAAAATTTAGTTCATACACATCCTTATTATCTGCTTAAATCATAGAACCATGCCGTGTAGAAAAGGTAAACAAACCGGCAGTTGAACAAGTTGAGGAGAAGTTCTGCTGGTTCTGATGTAAATTTCGTGGGAATAACGCAACACTTGTTGAAACCTGCGAATAACGCAGCTTAGGATGAGAAATTACTGAAAACTTTTCAGTGAAACGTTCGTGTTTACTGTTTACAGACAGATCGTCGAAATCATCAAGGCATTTTCTTCCCGTTATTGCGTTTAGATTTGAGGCATATCGCTTGACAGCTAAATATCTGTTGAAGGTATGAGCCCATGAAATATTTGAATTAGTTTTACTTTTCCTAAGACGGCGTCCAGCATTTTATCTCGTCGTTTTGTAGATCCTGCACGAGATGAAAAGGTTATGTCGATGTTTTGCACATGTATTCATGTACTGGTTTCCTTCCACAGGTCTTCATATCGAAAGTCCAAGTCTTCAATCTATCATGTCGCGAAGGAGGAAATCGAAAAAGACGACGAACGGTTGCACCAGCAAGCCTCAGACTTCTCTTCCACTGGTCAAAAGCAAACAGCGTATGACACCTAGAAGTGCTCCGCAGTTAACACGAAATGGAAAGTTTACTCAAAACTGGATTGTAGAGGATTTATTGGAGGAAGAGAAATTTGTTCTTAACCCTCGACTTAACTCTAATTTATCACAGTTGAAGAAATTGTGGAAGAATGGAAAACCACTAATGGATAACTGTGTAGAATTAGATCCATCTCCATTTAAACACTGTGTTGTCAAAAATCTGCTCAAGGATGAATCCCATCTTGATGATCTTTGCAAGGAACTGCCAAAGTTGCCGTATAAACAAATGCTGAATGATTTGTACTCATTACAGCAGTCTTGCGTTCTAGATGTTGGCAGTTCGTTAAAATCTGTGCATAGCATAGTAAAATTTATCAAAGGTCCTCTGAAGAAATGGGTGCAAGAGATAACTGGCAGGGTGTTTTCTGATAAAATGACAATCACTGCATCTCAATATAAATTTACTGATAGACTGCTATGTCATGATGACAATCTTCATGATCGTAGTGTAGCCTTCATTTTCTACTTGTGCAAAGATTGGGAAGAAGAATTTGGGGGATCTCTTGACTTATTTGATTGTGATTCAGACAACCAACCAAAAAATGTGATCAAATCAATATTCCCCTCATTTGGTTCCTTTGCCTTTTTTGAAGTGTCTCACAATTCGTACCACCAGGTAGCAGAAGTTCTCACTTCAAAATCTGTGAGACTTTCCATTAATGGGTGGTATCATGGAGAAGATTTACCTCAGCAACCAGTATGGCACGGTACCATTCCTAAAATGTTGGTTCCCATACAACTACATGGAAAGTCTGCTGATGACTTCATAAATTCAACTTGGCTAAATATGAAGACATGCTCTCAGGTAAAGAGTTCTTTTGAACAAGAACTAAGTATTAGTCTACCACAGTTTTTGAAGTCTCCCATTTTCACTGGAATAGAGAAAGCTTTAAAAGATAAGAGCATTGTGTGGGAGTCCTGTGGGCCCGCTCACCACAAGAGATATGAGGTAGCGAGGCTTTCTACTCTTCCTGCTGAAGTAACACAGTTCCTGAAGTTTGTTCAATCCAAACATTGGTTTCGGTTTCTCTCTCAGTGCACGGTAGAGATTAGTCCTGATGTCAAACCGTTGCCAAAATGTTGGTTGGAAGTCCAACGTTGGCAACCTGGGGACTACACAGTTCTTTTTGATAATGATCCACTTAATAATAGTACTGGTATTGATGTTCATTTGTACTTTGGTGTAGAAAAAAGGTTAAAGAACAATGTAGGTGGTGAGGTTTTCTATCTTGGCCCCGATCGTGATGATGAGGGTAATCTAGAGCAAGCTTTTCATCTAGAACCAGAAAATAATACCTCAACAATAATAGCTCACATTGAAGGTATGGCTGTGTTGACAAAGTATTTGGATCATCGAAATAAACCTTTCTTTAAAATATTTGGCAGGTATTCACAAAGTGTGGAATGAAGTGGAAGTCATTACTCTGGTAATACATACGGGTATAGATGTACAGTGTGTGTTGTGAGTGATAAAAGTTAGAGGATAATAAACGCCCAAAATATGAGTCATTATTTACTTAGACCAGAAAACTGCAAATTAAAAAAGAAAAAAATCAATCAATATTGGATTGTACAACACATACTCTTATAACAAAAGTCCACAAGCTAGAGACAAAATAGTCTGAAAAGTGAAAAACTCATAAAACCTACATTTGTCAGCCAGTTTTGCACCTGATCATAACATATTAAATAAAGCTAACACACAAATAAACACAAGGAAATCTAGGAATTTTGTACCTTGAAAGAACATTTTTTTTTTTTGGTAAAAGCATATGGCTTTAAATAATTTTGGTACAAATATTTGTTATTGTAAATAATCAATATACTAAAATGAGTTTTTGAAGACATTAAATTAAGCACAATAAAACTCAGTCTAAGAGCTAAACACCAAAGCTTGTTACACAACTGCATCAATAAATAAATTTAAAAAAAATGTAATTTAAGATACGGGGATGAACTTTATAGTGGTGCTCTTCAGCTGTGATGGACAGTAAAGAAAAACAAGCACATATCTGATGAGTAAAGCTTTGAATGGATTCATAAAAGAGGCGATCTATGAGACCACCGGTGCACAAATGGTTCCACAGCAAAACTAAAACTACATCAATTTTCTTTAAGTTATTGCATTTGCATTACTGTTATGAGGCTGATTGTTGTACTGAAACCATCAGTTTCTTAAACAAAACACAATGGAATGCTTAGACACAAATATTTGAGTCCTGTGTGGGAGCAAAGCCCACTATCCTTTGGTATCAATGTATACAACCTAGAAATTACACCACACAAAGATGATTACAAATACTAATAAATAAGCAAGATCCTTCAAAAGCAGTCTTTCTCACACCTGGAATCATGGATGGACAAAATTTAGGCCATTTTTCTCCCACAAATATCCATGTCAAAAGTGTTAGGAAGAACTGGAGCGCAGACACATCTTACATTTGATATTCAATTTCATCAAAACATGTTTTTTAAAAACAATTTTTTTTTCATTACTTACTAAAACGAATTTCACAAATTTTTAAAAGGAAGAGAATTGATCAGATTTCAAGAGAATAGATGCAATAACACTTAAATGTAAGACTTACAAATATAATTTGAATAAGTACAAAAGATTTCTTTGAGATCATCCATAATGTAACATTGAAAAAATGTATAAACCTCAATGATATCAAACGTCTATACACTGAAACCATTGACCAAAGGAAGAAAAATTACGGAAGGAATGTTGCAAGATGTGTAAGGAAATCACGAGTGTTGACGAGAGTGCATCCAGTTCTGTTCATTTTGTCATACATCCCACAATGTGAAAGGTATATTGACCAAGGACTGCATTTGACTGATCTTATCTCTAAATAGAAAGAATAAAACAAGTGAGCATAGCTGCGCCCATAATCAAGCAAACCACAATATGTATTGGTAATAATAATAATTAAGAACAAGAAATATATCAAAGTAACATAATAATAATTTCCCACACTAAGTTCATTAGCCTGTGGTCGAATTGCAGCTGGTTTAAGTTTCTTAGAACAAAGAGGTCCAAATAAGCTATGAAGTGATATCAACTGTTTGCAAGTTTGCTCAGCACAGACCACAATAAAACTGGTTCAACGCAGAAACAGCATCCACAACTCAAATTTAAAATATTTAAGCAAGTTTGAGTGATCTGGCCTGACATCAGATTCATTTACATCACATTTGGGGTTTTTACTAATCACCTCAATGCCAACCCAAGTTCCTAGGGCACAGATCATAAACCTTGGCGGACAGTTCAGAAGAAGACTCATTTTTCATTAGATTTCATTTGTTTTTTTAATTTCATTATTGAAAGTTTTCTCATTTTCTTTCTCCATGCTCCAACAGCCAAAAGTCACTAGATCCAACAGAAGCCGCTTATCACTACGGCCCTACGTTCAATCCAGGTACTCCAATAATACTTAACAAACTTTAACAGTCTGAGACCCAGAGAAGATAGCTATGTACAAGATCTGGGCATTATTTTCGCCCATAAGTCATCTTTGTGTCTTACACTAACAATGCTCTGAACATAAAGAGAAAAAATGATAGACATCAACAGAGGAAGGCCCAGATCAGGTTACATCACACATCTACATATGACACCTTGTTCAATTTAAATGCCAGATGTTAACAAGGCTATGAGACATTCAAAGCCAACCTGCAAAACAATGAGCTCTGGACCCCAGAGGAGAGAAGGGCCTTTGGCCAGTTCATAGTTCAATAATAAAACTAGGTCCATGGGTAGAGCCTGCCCCATTTTAAGAAATTATGATTTCATCAAATGATTAGATGAGGAATGTTGAAAGTAATATTATTGGTTGGGTTTAATGATAGGACTGGAAAGTGAAATGAGTACATTCAACTTTTAAAAATCTGCTTAACTGTATTAACTCTTACTTCTATAACAGCATGATTTTTATCAAAAGTTTTCCTATATCATTCCTAATCTCAGATAATGTATGTACACAGAGTTATACCCCTATTAGTTTACAATCATTTTAACATTAGATTAAGGTGAACAGCCAACTTTCGAATAGAAAATAAATCACCTGAAAATCTGTCATTATGGTCACTGCTGCTACCGCTACCAGACCATTGTGGTCTACGTACAAAGTCTGGTATAAAACAAACCCTAGACTTTGCCTTGGGTTGTAATGTAATACTTCCAAAATAGAACATTTTATTTTCGCTTTTGCAGTCAAACCATCTAATTAAAAGAATATTTTGGCTCCATTAAATGGCATTCTCACGAAAACCATGTTTCATTGTATTTGTTTCTCTTTAAATAGTGCTACTGATATTTAAAAACATTTGACTAGTTTCATAATTCTCTTATTGCTTCCAATTTCCTTAACAAAGTCAAAAACGACCACACCCCAGCACAATATTTATAACTAACAATAGAGCAGCGACGCAAGACACATTTTCTCAGAAAATAGGAAAGTTTAGTCACATTTCCTGTACCTTAGGTGACTATTCTCATTAAGCCTAAGTATGATTTGCCCCAAGGGAATTTGGCTGGCTCTCTGAAAAAATTCATTAAGTCATCCTAAGAGCCAAAGAGATTATTTGACACATTTAAAACAGTTTTGATATTGCACTTGATCGGTACAGCAAATGAGACCAGTACAGCACTGTACCTAATGGTAATAATACTACTCTCTCACCTGCCCCTCTTTCTTTAAACCTCCCCAGCCCCTCCCTTCACTTAATAAAATACATTGCATTCATACCCTTGATATTCATACGGGTAATTTCATTCATCATCAGTCTGATTTAATGATATACCATGGCCACATCCCCTTGGAGCAAACCAGTACAACACACAGCACTCAGGCGATTTCTTGTGCCATACCAGAAATGAGCTACGTGACGTAAGTAGGCCTAGTGCATCAGTATGGTACAGTACGATTAGAAAGTAAGTACCAGTAGTACTTACAATGTGGGAGGAGTGCATCCATCCCACTGTGTGCTTTGGACGAGCAATCCTTCAAGGAAGAAATACCTATCAGATACTACAAACTCAAAGAAAGTAGTCTCATCTGATAGATAAATTCAATTTAACTTTTAAGTTTTCTCATTACGACTCATTAAAATCTTTTGCCCTAGGAATGCATTTGTTAAATTTGACATGCGGTCTTACAAAAATAAATTACTTTCTGGAAGTCAACATATCATGTTGGGCAGTATATTTGATAAAGTTACCTGATCATTAGCATAACTGTACTTTAGAATTATGCTGTGCAAATTCATTTTCTTATAAAGTCAATACTGGAAGTCCCATTTGAGAGAAATCATTCTTAAACAAAGTGTTTGGCGCATCACTACACCTCAGAAGACAGCCAAGGTAATAATAATAATAATAGCATCCTGATGCTGCAAAACACAATGTAGTCATAAGTTGACACAGCCGGATGCCAAAGGTAGTGATGAAATGCAAACAATAACATCAAGCTATTAGAACAAGACAAAATGTCAAGTTCTATTCTTTATAGCTACACAGATGCAACAATTGTTACAAATACAACTGATGTGTGTGTGTGGACTTAAACCAGCCTACTAAACCATAACGCATGATGGTATAGCTTTAAAGTGACTAAATCCATCAGACCATAAACAACCACACTAATCCTAAAGTAAATGACTAGCAAAACATTCACATGAGTTTACAATAGCACTACAATACTTGTAGTGCAAAAAGAAAGAGAGAGTTAATAATAAACTTATGTTATGGAACAGTAGGCTTTATAAATACACATTTATAGTGGTATAAACAAATATACAGGTACAGTATATTATCCACACACACACACACAGACACAAACACACACCATACATACGCTTTTGAACATTCACACAATAATACATTAAACATATAAAGTAAAGCTATGATCTGCAATCAGAGTGAAAGACTCACAGTGAGCACCACATGATTGCACTTAAGTATGCAATGCACACATAGCCAATGCACCCACAAAAATAATCTGCACAAATGATGTGCACTAGGAAAAAGCTCAGTGATAAGTCTCACAGTCAAAGGAAAACAACTCAAACAAAAAGTCTAAGATACTGCTGACCATACCAGCAAATAAATGTGCTTACAAAACCAGTTAAGTGAACTTAAAGTAATTCAAAAGGCAAGAAAAACACACACAAAAGAAAATCATAAAAAAATCAAACTCAAATGACAAGAATTTGCTGAATTTACAGCAATATATGAATCTCAAAATAACACAAAACTAAAATTCATGAAGAGTGGATGCCATGGCAGGTGAGCAAGTTCACTTAAAATATTCTCACCATTTGATGAACAAAACTTGCTGGCAGACAACTGCCAATTAACACAAAGCAATATCAAGGAATACAAATAAAGTGCAAACATGAACTTGATTTGTCTGGCATTATTTGCCAGCAAGAAAAAAACAAGATCTAAGGGAAAAGATAGACAGTACACTTTGCACTAGTCTGACTAGCTTAATTTCATTTTCACATCAGGACATTAACATATAAAGATATAACTTCTGAATGCTGAATTTGTCCCACGACATTCACTTAAATAATGGAAGATTTTAACCTTTAAATATGGTAACAAACAGTGCTATTCACAATCATAGAAAATCCCCTCTCAACATTGAACGTAACCTATAGCTTAAAATAATTGATGATTAAGTACAAGGATGGGGTTGAGACAAATTAAGCCTTCAGGTCTTACTCCTGAGATGACTAGCTCAAGGTCACAGCGAAATAAATTTAACACCCCGGCTCCCTCTATGAGGTTTTACTTTTGTTGGTTTTAAATGAGACTTGCAGAACTCTGTTACCAAGGGTGTAACCATTGAGTGATTGAATAGCAACAACAGCTTCATCATAATTGGTCATTGTGACAAAACCAAAGCCCTTGCATTTGTTGGTCTGCAGGTCGCGGATCACCTTGACGCTTTGGACGGCCCCAAACGGTCCGAAGAGTTGCCACAGGACATTCTCTTCTGTTTCTGGGGCTAGGTTGTAAACGAAGATGCACCAGCCGGACCCGCTCATGCTGTTGCCAGGAAGCATGGATTGTCCCAAGAGGTCACCCGCGAGCGGAGAGTACCTGCTGGCAAGAGAGCCACGCATCACTAATCTGACACAGGGTAAAATATCAGGGCACACAAAAAAATAAGAGGAACGTGAAGAGTGTGATCCACTAAGAACCATAGTGACTGTGGCTTTACATTTATGATTTTTAATGGAAACATTGTTGGCCACAAACTCACACAGGAGCAGGAAATCTAACTCAAAAGTAAACCCTGCACAGATGTAAAAGGGGAAGTCATTTCAATGCCCATCAAAAATAAACAGTTTACATTGTTGGTCCTCTATTTGGTGGTTGTTGGTACATTGCTGTTAACTAGTGCTCAAGTAGTTTTTAAATTTAAAGCACATGCAACTAGTTCAATACCATGCAACCATATGACTTCTAAATTGGCATATTAAATAAGAAAACTACGGAATTCTTGCATGTCACGGATCCATTGATAAAACTCCAAAATTGAAGATCTAAAAACAACCCTGTTACGATCAAGTTATGATATGATCGATTACCCCAAAAGGAGTTTTTGAACAGGAATTTAATGGAAGTAGTAATAATAAACTAAGGATTGGACAGAAAACTAAACAATTGAATGGTGCAGAGAAACAAAGCACAACCATTACATGCTCAATATAGGTGTATTATCCAATATTCGTGAGATTCTAGTATGCCTAATAAGTAGGAAACACTTCCATCATACCAGTATTTCAGATATGAATTAGATAATATAAATTGTAAACTGATTATCCTCCAAAAAAAATTATACTCCATAGCAAAAATGTAAAAGAAGTAAAAAAAATTGAGAATTAACTAAAGATTATAACTTTGCTATGCCACAAAATAAATTCAAGCTAAGTTGTGTCTAAAGCATGCACTTCAATAGAATAGATATACTGACCTCTGAAGACCTTTGTTAATGGCTAGCATTGTCTTGCCAGTGCTAAAACAAAATACACAAACAAACATAAGAATATAATTCCAGGAATACAGATGCAAGCAAACTGATGCTTAGCGGGCATTTCTCACGCTTCAATTCAAATCAAACCAAGTCACAGCTTATGTCAGATCAAAGCTACCAGAAAATTAGAGAAATAGGTAAATACATAGTGAGAGAATGCAGCCTGAAATGATGCTAAGCATTTAAATTTCAAAGGGAAAATATTTCAAACACGTCTGCCCACAACAAAGAACCCGTATCAGTCAACCACCACACCTAGCTGTATTGTCTGTACCCTCTGATAAAACAAGGCAAGTAAATCAAAATGAATATTGTTTTCTTTTCCTGTTTAGCAACTTCACAAACTTAGTGATTCACGCAGACTATGAATGTCATAGAGAAGGGAACCCAGAAATCCAAATTGCAATAAAACAATTTTAGGGAAGTGACGGTTAGGGCAGAAGCAGGGCAAGACCTCATGTTTAACTAACACTAAGGCTACCATAACTGAAGTTGCATTGTTGTGAATGGGGGAAAAAACGAAACAGAGGAGGGAATCTATGACGTCTGCAGTACTCTCTCTCTCTCTCTGCTCTGGGGGCTATAGAGCAGAGATGTCTATTCTGCATCCAAATTCTAAGAAAGACATAGATGCAGATAGAGAAAAAAGAAATACGAGTGAACACAGATAGTTGCCAAGATAAATACCAGAGTTCAAACTACTTTGCACAACCAATGAATGAATTTTACTACAGAACTATTTCCACATAGAAAGCCTGTTTCAAATCACCTTTGAGAGTTGGCGCCAAGAAATGATTTCCCACTTCCTAGGCCTGAGCTGTTAACACACAAGTCAACAGATGACTTATTATTAGGGGTACACATCAAATGTACAAAATTATCACTTCTATAAGTTTATACTTTAGACAAAATTGATGTTTAAGCCCCTGTAAAGGATAAGTCTTAAAATATTTAATAAACAATACACATAAAATACACCCTCTTCTATTTCAACAAAGTTCCATTGAATATCGGAGAGGGGAAGTATGGATTAGTTACCAAAAGGAATGCGGAATAAAAGAAGAATGGTGAGGAAAAGAAATCAATTCAATTGGAATATTGAAACAGGCTTAGAATGTGAAGACATGATGCAGTTGAGTTAATACCATCAAATGGAGGCACATAAAAAGAATGACTTGGTGATACATTTATTTTATTTGTTGGGATATCGTTTGGAAAGCAGAGTGCCAAGAACTTTCATACAAAAATATGAGGTTGTAATAACATATGTCTAGCTAGTGTAGAAAAAAATCATACAATTTGAAATAATTGAGATCCTTTGCGTTTTTAATAATGTATTGGGTTGTGGCACATGTTGCACTATTGGAAAAAGAATACTAATTGACATTCAAGACAATAAAAGTCATGCAGGCAAGTAAAGAGAGATATGGAAAGATTGTGGTATGGAGCTCTCCATGGATGTACATTTGGATAACATAAAAACCACACTTAACAAAAATGTTTCGCAAAAACTTGTGAAACATGGCTCCATTTCAAAAGATATTATAGTAACAATTGTAAATTTTGCGGAGAAAATCATTAAATCTATAATAAAACAAAACTAGAACTGACACAAATGTTGTAATCCAAAACCAATATTAAAATTACACTGAATGCAAACCAAAGTCAAGTGCCTACATTCTGCCTAGCATAAAAGGTGCTAAAAATTTCAAGTAAAAATAAGAAAACATCACAGTATCTCCTCAAAATTTGCCTTGCCTTTCCATTCTATGCTACATTGTAAACTCCGTGACACTGCACATTTAATGCTTGTGTGGACCTACAATGTAATACTCACCTATCACGTGTGTCAGGCCACAGCGGCAGTCCGTATGGGCTGCTTGGTGGAAAGGCAGGGCAATAAGCAATATAGCACAACAGAATAGACAAAGGGGTACCAAAAACACAACCTAGGAAAACTAAATTTACATGCCATATGGTTTAATAAAATTCAAGAAAATTAAATGAAATGATCAAAACAGCAGTAAAAGCTTTTGAGAACAAGCATTGAATGTGTGGCATTACTAAAGTAAACCTCATGTCAGCCATAATAAAACCATACAGCATGTAACATCATAATCCCATGCTAGCTGCACACCATCCCAGAATGGCCGTCTCTTAAACAGAATCATTTAAGCAACAACATAGGAAGAAACTTTGGCTGTACATTAAGAAAACAAAAACATAATGTAGTTTAATTAAAATATGAAAGGTAAGAAACTAGGCTGATAGTAAGTTATCTTCTGAAATGATAGGTGATAATACTGATTTGATAACAATAACAAAATAACTTTAATACTGTGTGCAAAAGAAAAAGGAGCTGTAAATGAAGCCACTTAAATGGAAATGGGAAATTTCTACAATTAGGCAACAAAATATTTGACTTCTAAGATATAGACCACAAAGCAAACAAAATGCAAAAAAGGGGGTATACACAGTGAAGGTAGAAATGGTAAAAAGCAGTGACTCAACCAGAAACATGGTGGTTCAATTTTTTCTGAACCATATCCAACAAATAAGAGGAATTTGTTCAATGAACAAATTCATATCAATTTAGGTTTGAATAAAGCTATGAACTCTTACTCTTCAATATTTGAATTATTACATACAGCAGACCTCTACCGTTCCATAAGATATCAAATTAGAAAACAAGAAAACGCTGCCTCACAAATGACGGCCATGAGGGTACTGAGCAAATTTGGCATAGATTGTGACATCAAATATGAATAGATAGTGGGATGGGGTGCAGATTGGGTATGTCAAATGTCCACAAGACAACTACAGTATATTAGTAAAATCACACTTCAGAAAGAAGACTCTTGTAACCAAAACAAACCCTTACACTAAAACACGCGCGCAGACACACACACACACACACCAAACACCCACACAGCAAAAACAAAACAGGAGCATCTTAGATAGATAAAATTAATATTCTGTACTGATTAGAAACTTTAGGATATATCAACAAGAATTAGAATTATCTCAATAAGTCATAAGGATTGATGCTGCCTAGAGGGCAGGTCATGACAAATTACTACAAACTTGTGCACCATGCACTATGCTTAGTTAAAATTGAGTCAAAACATTAATAAATGTAACTATATTTGAAACTGAGACACCAATCTGATAAAAATGTATTTACTAAGAAAAAGTTCACACACTTACAGAATGTAAAATATTATTTTTAAAAACAAATATTGAAGTTACATTGATGTGAATAAATCTACATTTTACAAAGCAAGATATAGGCAAAAGCAAGAGAAACAACCACAACCAAAATTTGCGAGGAGGAACCACAACAATATCTTTTGGACCAAAGCCTGACACTTGGGCTCCTTTTCTGATATTGAAATAAGATCAAAAACAATACAGCACCAGGAATAGATGCATGACTTTAATTGATTGATAGTCAAGACAGTCTAAGAAAATGTAGTGCAAAATTGTTTCATCCATTAATGCACAGCAATATATACACTATGGATATTGAAAAAAAGGTAGCTTTGGCAAAATTTGGTTTCGTGCCTACCCTAAATATATTTGTGAGGTTCCTACAACCACCAGTCAATAAATTAAATCACTTCCCCATTATCTGTAGTTTAAATTGAATGCTCAGTGTGTGTTTCTAAGGGTAAGTTGACATTTGATGCGGAAACTGAGGTGGGTAAAGGTTTGGATGAACAGGGGAACTCAAAATGCAGCGAACTGCCGGAGGGAAACTAGGATAAGAGGGTGTTGATAAAGGAATGTACCTGAAGCGGCCAGTTGGATGGTGCATGGGTCCACCAAAGCGTCTTGCAGCCTGAGGAGCCAAATATGCAGCCAAGGGTGGCATGGCTTTGTTATTGTTGCTAGGGTTGTTGGCAAACTTCACAGTGATTGGTTCGGTTGATCCCTTCGGCACAGTCCCATTCAATTCCTGGATGGCACGTTCTGCTTCCATACGTTGATCAAAACGAATGAAGCCCACGCCTTTAGACAGACCTGCCGGAAAAAGAGGCACCATAAGAAACGTTCGGAAATACTGGGTCAGTAGAATGGCAAGGTCAAACAGACCAATCTTTGACTTTGCAGAGGGCATTTCACACACACATTCACGCAGTCGAATTCATGCAAAAAGATAAGTGCAACAAAATTGCAGGCCAGATCTAAGGCCATGCAACTGCTAACAATCTCATAAAAACATAGTAAATATTTGTTCACAATGTTTGGTGTGAAAAGTTTCTCTTTCACATCCACAGAAGAACAAAAGGGATGAGACTTCACACAAATGGAGGAAAGCAAGCTCTACAACAAATCCACACGCATCCTAAAACATGACCAAATCACACAGCGAAAAGTCAATGCTGCAAACTAATCCACTGTTGTAGACTAGATTTGAAAAATCATAAAAAGATAAATAAAACCAGATGGAAGTGTAGAAGCAGGGATGGAGGCTAGGTTAGCCAACAATTGGGAGGAAGAATTTTGTATTTAATGAAGGAGAATCTTTGATAGTAGTTTTCTAGTTCAAGCTTGAACTACAGCTTTGATCTGCATTTAAGAAAATGACTTGTGAAAAATGTGATAAAAATTTTAGCAGTTATACATTTAGATGGTATGGTGTATGTATTCTGCATTACTCCTAATGAATGTAATTAAGACGAAAGAAAAAGGACATTTTGAAAGATTCAATCATAACAGAACACAACATATGTGACGAGAAAATTTATGACCACTACCTTCAGTTTCACACCAGAAGAGAATGAGCAAAAACACAATGAAAATGAAGCAGATATTCTGATGATTTCAATCTTATGTCCAACTTCAAAAAAAGATGAAAGTATTGAAGACAAGAAAAACAAGGTGAAGGACTTAACTGACAATTTACCATTTCTGTTAACAAACTTCATATAATATTAACCAGGGTGATTGCTATTGATTATGTTTCAAAAACACTGTTGAATGGTATTATGACAAACAGACCAAAGACAATATTGAAATCAGGCCGAACAATGCCAAGGTAAGCACACCGTGCACTACACACTCTAGAGATGAACAGTATCATGAAGCCATAGGTAAACAAAACATCAAACTCACGTACATGGAACATTGTCCGATCCGCTCACAAACTGGCGTACTATGAAAGAAAGAAGAAAAACGTGAAATGAACAACATGATTCAGATTGTTTCTGCTGGAGAAAGTTTTAATTAAATTAAAACTGTGTTGATTTATGAAAATATTGTACCCATTAGTTTGGGGATGAATAGATGTGAAATTTATTAGTGCTAACCTAGGTAATTTATGAAACAAAAATGGGTGGGTGAGATGGCTTGTGCTTTAGGATAGTGTGATGTAACCACAAAATTCTGCTTTGTGAGTTCAAGCCCCAAACTGCACAGCCTATCATGATTTTTAAAAGTTTCAAAAATAGCAGTAGCAGTAAAAGATAACATAACATGCTCAGTTGCAGTATCTGACGCTCTAAACTAGTAACTTGCATAACTACACGTCCTGCCCACATGTTAACGGCAGGAGTATGAAAGAATGTTGATCACTGTATCAATATGAATAGGAAAGACAAAACTAGATATGTCATAGTTTGTTTTAAACGAAAGACTATGATCAAACCATTGAAAAGATGAAAATGAATCATGACAACACATGCCAAAAGCTATTGTTGGACTGCACAAGAAGAAAATTGAGCCTCAGAATACAAGCAATATGAAACAGATGATGTCAAAGTCAAGAGAAGCATTAAAATTGGGAAATGTTTTTCAAAATAGAGTTGTAACCACACACTCTGAGTAATTACCTAATGACTGAAAAAAAATAAAGTGATCTTAAAAATTAGGGACCCATTACCACATTCTTACCTGACATATTGTCACAGAGGATTCTTGATGTTATTATTCTCCCATATGGACTGAACAAATTTTCCAAGTCCTGTTGGGTCATACTCTTTGGAAGGCCACTCACATACAAATTGGCTCCTTTGATAGCTTCACTGCTTGGTCTCGCAAATGAAACCTAAGCAAAATTTTAAATTCAAAATTAACATAATAGATTTTTTTTTTAAAGGAGAAAGATGTGTACAAAGGTCTTTCACTGACCTTAATTGTTTTATTTTGTAGTCTGAGACCATTTAATGTGTTGATAGCCTTCTCTGCATCCTCCGGTCTGTGGTAGTTGACGAACCCATAACCCAGACTTTGTCCTGTGTATGTAAAGACACAGAAGGATTCAATTTTGCACCATTAAAAAGATTCGTGAAAGTTTAATTTCAGTAAGCTTTATAGATAAATATCACACATAATCCATGAAATTCAAAATAAAATTGCAGAACTCTAGTTAAACCTACCAGTCACTTTATCTCTGATGAGTTTACAACTCTCCACCTCACCAATAGATGAAAATAGAGAGCGTATTTCTTCTTGTGTCATAGTCTGGGGTAAGTAGTTCACTATCAAATTGGTCTTACTCTCCTCCGACTGGGAAGAGGAGTTGTGGGACGAATTGTTGTGCATTGTCCCATTGTGCTGCGGCATTGTGTCCATCCCATTTTGCATCATTGTAAAATTCTTTTCAAACCTGTGAACAGAAAAAAATGAACAGAAAATTAGTAACTTTACTGCCGCGTTAACAACTGAAAATAATTCACGGCACTACCGTTCTTCAACAATATTAAGAGAAAACACTAGGAATGACAAGGACAACCTAAAGCTAAGCCCCACAGATGTTTGCAGGTGAATTCAGGAAGCATCCGACTGCAAAATCCTCCGCTTTCCTTCCAGTACCTTTTCAAGTCTTAAGAGAACAAGGCAAGGACATCTCCCCGTGAGCGAGCAACGACCCGTTCAATACAACGTCCACCAAAAATATATAATGAAAGCATCACATGACAAACGCCCCCTTTCACCTCCCGCTGAGCAGTGTGCCTGTGCCAGCCCCAGCCCCGGGCCGCCTCATGGCCGCCTCGCCTACCCCCCGCCCGTCATGAGCAATGCACTTTCCGACCTGACAGTTGCCTGCCTGTCGAGGTCCGGCGTGGCCTGGCGTAGCGCAGAGGCCTCATGCGTGGGAACAGAAATAACCCGACCAACCCTATGCTGAGTGCCTGCCTACTGGCTCGGGCCCAGCTCCGCCTGCTCCGCCTGCTCCGCCAAGCCCCCAGCAGCAGGCAGCGAAGCCCAGCAGCAGCAGCAGCTCACCTCGCCGAGGGCACCGCGAGGGCAGAGCGGGCAGAGCATTCGCCCGGGCCGGGGAGGGGTCAGTTCGGCCACTATCAGCGCCAGCCTGGGCAGCCTACGGCAGCCCCCGCGCCCGTGCGTGCGCGATATCGTCCATCCCGTGCATCGCCGTCACGCGCCGCCGCGCATTGGCGGCATGATCGATACGAGCGCCACCGAAGCCTTCCCTTTGAGATGGCGGCCGGTTTGGACGCCAACCTCTGCGCTCCTCCAACCCCTCTGGCGCAACCAGCCTCCAACGCCTTCCCTCCCCTCGGGCCTTCCCTCCCCCCATCCACTTCCCGCCGCGCTCAAAGACACGCCGCCTCCGCAGCCGCCGCCCGCGAGCATGCCGATACCAACCTCCAAAATAGCGGCGCGCTCCAGTCAAGGCGCTTTGGGGAAATCTAAAATTAGAGGGCGGGGGAGAGCGACGCGGGGGGGACGGGACGGGGCCAGCGGCCGGCCGGCTGGCACACATCCACAGAGGAGCGGCGCGGGGGCAGGAGAGGAGCACGGCCTAAGTACACACGCAGCACCACCGCGGTGTCCGAGAGGCTGACGTGACGACGTCGGCCGCTGTCCCCTCGCCATAACGGCGCCAGCCTGCCCTAGGTCGGGGGGCACACTGGCACCCCCCCCCCCCACAAGCCACGCCCACGAACCACGCCGATTTATTCATACGTAGCAGAAACATGCTGCCTCTATATAGACCCCCACCTCAGAGGCACCGGCCCTCCCCGGGCGCTATTCGGGACGGGCCCGCCCCATGACTGGAGCCAGAGGAAAGGGGAAACAAAGGAAGCGAGGAAAAGCGTCCTCCCTCGCCGCCTTCCTGGTCTTCGTAATGCTTAGATCCTTTGTTCGCGCAGTACGGGTGGGGCCGACGCCCATCCCATATCGAGCCAGACGCGGACGTGACCGCCGCGCCCTCCCTCCCCTCCAGCTAGTGCCCGAATGCCCTTTGACCTTTTAGATACGGTCCAGCAGGGCGGCGCAACCAGCATCCGGGAGCGGAAGAGGACGAGGGGGCGGTTGGGAGGGAG